GCAGTTATTTTTAATGTATGTGTCCATGTGTTCATTGCTAGTATACAGAAAAACCATTATTTTTGTATGTTTATCTTGTACCTTGAAACTTTGCTGAACTCACTCATTAGCTCTTTTTATAGGTTGAAGCAGTATTTTGTAGTATGAGGTCGTTTTGTAGATTCTTTGATTTTTTCTTTTTTTAATGAGATAGAGTCTTGCTCTGTCACCACCCAGACTGGAGTGTAGTGGTGCTTTCAAGACTCACTGTGACTTCGACATCCGGGACTCAAGTGATCCTCCCACCTTGGCCTCCCAAAGTGCTGGGATTACAGGTGTGAGTTACCTTCTTGGAATTTTTTATGTACACAATGATGTCATATGCAATTGGGACAATTTTTTTTCTTCCTTTCTGATCTGCATGCCTTTTAATTTTTTCTGGTAGCTAAAACTTCAGGTACATTGTTAAAAAGAGTGCTAAGAGTGGACTTTTTTGTCTTATTCCCAAACTTAGGGGCAAACCATTCAGTTTTCACCAACACATAGATCAGCTGTAGATTTTTGTGGATGCTCTTTAACAAGTTGAAGAAGTTGTCTATTTTTCTCTATTTTTATCATGTTGAATTTTGTCAAATGCTTTGTCTGCATGAAATGCTATGATCAAGAATTTTTCTTATTTAGCCTGTTAACATAGTGGATTAAATTTAACTTTTTTTTTTTTTTGAGGCAGAGTTTCGCTCTTGTTGCCCAGGCTGGAGTGCAATGGCACGATCTCGGCTCACTGAAACCTCCGCCTCCCAGGTTAAAGCGATTCTCTTGCCTCAGCCTCCCAAGTAGCTGGGATTACAGGCAAGTGCCACTGTGCTCTGCTAATTTTGTATTTTTAGTAGAGACATGGTTTCTCCATGTTGGTCAGGCTGGTCTTGAACTCCTGACCTCAGATGATCCACCTGCCTCAGCCTCCCAAAGTGCTGGGATTACAGGCGCTAGCCACTGCACCCAGCAATAATTTTTTTTTTTTTGAGACAGAGGTTTGCTCTTGTTGCCCAGGCTGGAGTACAATGGCATGATCTCCACTCACTGCAACCTCCACCTCCTGGGTTCAGGTGATTCTCCTGCCTCAGCCTCCCTAGTAGCTGGGATTGTAGGCATGTGCCACCACACCCAGCTAATTTTGTATTTTTAGGAGACACATGGTTTCTCCATGTTGATCAGGCTGGTCTCAAACTCCCGACCTCTGGTGATCTGCCCGCCTCAGCCTCCCAAAGTGTTGGGATTACAAGCATGAGCCACCATGCCTGGCCTAATGATTCTCAAATACTAAATCAGCCTGCATCCCTGAAACAGATCTCTTTTGCTCATGGTATATAATGTTCATATATTGCTGAATTCTGATTGCCAATATTTGGTTAAGGATTTGTGTGCATTTCCTAGATGGCTGATGTTGAACACCTTTTCATAGGTTTTTGGCCATTTGTAAATCTTCTTTGGAAACAATGTCTGTACAGATCTCTTGTCGATTATTTAATTGTCTTTTTGTTGAGTTATATTTCTTTATACATTGTAGATACAAGTCCGTTATGCGATATATTATTTGCAAAAACTTTCTCCCATTCTATGAGCTGTCTTAACTTTCCTGATAGAAAAATGAAGTGCAGGCTGGGCGCGGTGGCTCATGCCTGTAATCCCAGCACTTCAGGAGCCCGAGGCGGGCAGATCACCTGAGGTCAGGAGTTCAAGACCAGCCTGGCCAACATGGTGAAACCCCGTCTCTACTAAAAATACAAAAAAGTTAGCCAGGCGTGGTGGCGTACGTGTGTAGTCCCAGCTACTCAGGTGGCTGAGGCAGGCGAATCGCTTAAACCTGAGAGGTAGAGGTTGCAGTAAGCTGGGATTGTGCCACTGTACTCCAGCCTAGGCAACAGAGCGAGACTCCATCTCAAAAACAAACAAAAAAAAGACAAAGAAAAATGAAGTGCAAAAAAAGTAGATGATATCCAGTTTATCTTCCCCCCACTTGTGTTGCTGTGCTTTTGGTGTCATATCTGGGAAATCACTGCCTAATCTGAAGACATGAAGATTTACATCTATATTCTAAGATTGTATAGTTTTAGCTCTTACATTTAGGAATATGATCCATTTTAACATGACCCATATATAATTTTTATATATAGTATGATGCAGGGAATCGACTTCATAATTTTACATGTGGATATCCAGTTGTCCTAGCAACATTTGTTGAAAACATCATTTTCCCCATTGAATTGTCTTGGTGAAAATCAACTGATGACAGATGTAAGGGTTTATTTCTGGACTCTTAATTCTATTTTATTTATCTATATGTCTATTCTTATGCAAGTACCACAGTGTCTTGATTAATGTAGTTTTGTAGTAAGTTTTAAAATAAAGAATCTATCGGCTGGGCGCATGGTTCATACCTGTAATCCCAGCACTTTGGGAGGCCGAGGCGGGCAGATCACGAGGTCAGGAGATCGAGACCATCCTGGCTAACACAGTGAAACCCCGCCTCTACTAAAAATAGAAAAAAAAAAAAAATTAGCTGGGCGTGGTGGCGGGCGCCTGTGGTCCCAACTGCTGAGGAGGCTGAGGCAGGAGAATGGCGTGAACCCAGGAAGTGCAGCTTGCAGTGAGTCAAGATCGTGCCACTGCACTCCAGCCTGGGCAACAGAGTGAGACTCCGTCTCAGGAAAAAAAAAAAAAAGGATAGCCGCAAACAATACATTGTTAGGTGAACCAATGTGTAGAACAATGTGTATCTTGGAGATCTTTTCCTATTGGTACACAGAACTTCCTTATACTGTTTTAACATGCTTAGTATATGGAACTGTGTATTGATGCATGTATATGCAACATGGTATATGCAACTGTATTATACTTAAATCAGCCCCCTATCATTGGACATCTATATTATTTCCAATCTTTTGCTGCAATACATAATACACGTCAGTCATTTCATACATGTGCAAGTCTACCTGCAGGATAAATTTCTAGACATGGAAATACTAGGTCATAGATACAGTTATTATAATTCTGATAGATACTGCCCAATTGCCTTCCCAGAGGGTATTCAATAGTTTTCATTCCCACTTGCAATATGAGTTTTAAGTTTTTTTGTTTTTTTCTCAAGACGGGAGTCTTGCTCTGTCACCCAGGCTAGAGTGCAATGGTGCGATCTTGGCTCACTACAACCTCCGCCTCCTGGGTTCAAGCAATTATCCTGCCTCAGCCTCCCGAGTAGCTAGGATTACAGGCGCACACCACCACACCCAGCTAATGTTTTGTATTTTTTAGTAGAGACGGGGTTTCACCATGTAGGTCAGACTGGTCTCAAACTCCTGACCTTGTGATCTGCCCACCTCGGTCTCCCAAAGTGCTGGGATTACAGGCATGAGCCACCACGCCCAGCTGAGAATTTAAGTTTTACACTTCACTGACTATGAACAGTGCCAATGGCTTCCTTTCTAGATGCTTCCCTGAAAATATGCTACTTTTACAGCCTACTTATGTAACAAACAGAATTCTAAAAACACATTCTGGCCAGGCACAGTGACTCACCCCTGTAATCCCAGCACTTTGGGAGGCCAAGGCAGGAGGATCACTTGAGCCCAGGAGGTCAAAGCTGTAGTAAGCTATGACTGAGCCACTGCACCCCAGCCTGGGCAATAGAGTGAGACCCTATCTCAAAAAATAAACAAATAAAACCACCTTCTGTAATATAGAAATCTGTGTAATTTTACCAATGCTACGGAAAGTTTTCAGGCCAGGTGTAGTGGCTCACGCCTGTTATCCCAACACTTCAAGAGGCTGAGGCAAGAGGAATGCTTGAAACCAGGAGTTCCAGACTAGCCTGGCCAATATTGTGAGACACTATCTCTAATTTAAAGTTGTTTGAGTTGCTTTTTGGTTTTTTTTGAGGTGGGGTCTTGCTCTGTCACCCAGGCTGTAACAGTGCAATCTCAGCTCACTGCAACCTCCGCCTCCCAGGCTCAAGCGGAATCCTCCTACCTCAGCTTCTAGAGTAGCTGGGACTATAGGCGTGTGCCACCACACCCAGCTCATCTTTGTATTTTTTGTAAAGATGGGGTTTCCCCATGTTGCCCAGGTTGGTCTCAAACTCATGGGCTCAAGCAATCCACCCGTCTCAGTCTCCCAAAATGCCGGGATTAGAGGCGTCAGCTATTACACTCGGCCCTTTAGTTATTTTTATTATTATTATTTTTGATTATTATTATGTTATTATTATTATTTTTTTTTTTTTGAGACTCTGTTGCCCAGGCTGGAGTACAGTGGCACAATCTTGGCTCACTGCAACCTCTGCCTCCCAGGTTCAAGTGATTCTCCCACCGCAGCCTCTTGAGTAGCTAGGATTACAGGCATGTACCACCATGCCTGGCTAATTTTTGTATTTTTTAGTAGAGATGGGGTTTCACCACATTGTTCAGGCTGGTCTGGAACTCCCGACCTCAGGTGATCTGCCTGCCTCAGTCCTCAAACTGCTTGGATTACAGGCGTGAGCCACCACGCCCGGCCTTAAAGTTATTTTTTAAAATAACTTTAAATAAGTTTTTTAAAAAGGAGAAACTTTTCACATTATTTGAGCCCAAGGAAGAGGGGAGCTGAGAGAAAGGAGAAGCAGAGTTTAGGGCAATTCTTGCCATTCTTAGCTGACAGGCACACAAGAGGAACTATTTTCCCTTACTTCAGCATAAAAGACTTAAAATTTTCCACTTACTATACAAAGTGTTATTCATGTGAAAAATTAACCGAGCTGTTGATTGTTTTAACCAACAAAAGCTCTGCAAGTGCTAGATTTAGTGCTGTACAAGATGACTTTACTAACAAAGGGAGGATGCCCGAAGAGATTTACTATATAGCTAAGGAAAAATAATCTCACGCAGAGGATATGCTGAAGAGGTAATGAGCTAGAGAAACAGAACTGGAATGTTTCATTTCCTTTATGATACACAGAGAACACGGAGAGGAGGAAAAAGGGAACACACTTTTAATTGAAAGAGTTGACAATTTTATTTTCACATTTCCCAATATAAATGAAAACTGCATCTTTTTTGTCCCACTTCTCCCCTCCAAAACTATTCTCTCTTTGATAGGACAGGGGAGCAAGTCTTCCCTATGCTGTTTAGAAAACTCAGTATCACAGCAGCATGATCTCCTGGTGAAGCAGAACAGGTAATATAAAACTGATACAATGAAGCCTCCCCTCTATCCTTATCTGTCTGGTCGAGTCATTCCGGGCCGAGTGGGCACCATCATGGGACGGGCAGGAGGTCTCATCATTGGGGGCCCAGGCATCATTGGCATGTGGCCTCCCATGGGTGGCCTCATTCCAGGAGCTGCAGGACAAAACAAAGAAGACGGAAAAAAAGGGAGTCAGAAAATATTATTTAGGGAGAGTTTGATGGGACTTCAATTAAAAACAAAAAACGTAGCCCCCCTTGCAAAATGCTGGAAAAAAGACATACGTGACAGAAGAAATGCAACAAATTTATCACATCTGTAAATTACTTAGACATTCTCAGACAAAAAAACAAAAAGATCAACACAAGAACCATATGGGAATCATGATCTAATGATAGTAAGGGGGAAACTATTAATATATTGCTTTCCAGAAATCACCAGGGACACTAGTTCCCTAAACTGACCTTTTTTTCTCACTCAGGGAAATTCACAACTAAGTCACATGTTTTTCAGTCAGCTCTTTTAATCAGTGATATCCACCATATAACCAGGAGCTATTTCATGAATGTACACAGGCACAGAGGACAATCTTACCACTAAGCGTTTGTTCGGAGTTGTAGGAAAGGTGAGCAGGAGGCCCATGCTGGGAACCTGTTAGTAACCATACTTAGCTCAAGTCAAGAAAAATAATAGGCAATAACGTGATTTATAACAATTAGTGCACACAAAAATCTGATTTTTCTAATGCATTTCAGAAACTATTCATGAATTTTTTTAAGTGTCCCATCAATAAACCAGCCAAATAAATGAGCCAGGGAGGGGAAGGCAGGCAGAGGGGTAGGGGAGGAACACAGGTGGTTTCAATGGAATCAATAATGTTCTACTTCCCAGCTGGGTGGTGGGTTCATGGATATTAATTTTACTATTATGCCCCATAATTTCATGTTATCTATATTCTTTTTAAACATCAAATTTTACCAATTTATTTTTAACTAAATAATTTGGATTAAAGGTTTGCAGCAAAGGGTTCAAGAGAAAAGTATATTCAAACTTGAATATAGCCTTATCACAAATAGTGAAACACAAGAATATGCAAAGACACAAAATCCAACAGGTACAGAATTTAAGACCAATTTAAACAGGAACAGAGAATACTACTAACTTCTAAATACCACATAAAAGCCCATGCTTAACCTATATTTAAGAATTTCTTAGAGGAAATGGATGGACATAGACCAAAGATTAAAAACTGGCAACTTGTTTTCTTTGGTCTCCATAGTGGATTTACTTTGAATCAGTTGACAACATTGGGATTTCATACGAAAGAGTAGATTCCTTTTTTCTTTTAAACTTCTTATTATGGAAATGTTCAAACATACACAAGAATAGTAAAGAGGAGTATAATGAACATCCATGTATCCATCATCCAGCTTCAACAATTACCCACTCATGGACAACTTTATCTCTACTCCCCACCCATTCCTATCCCTGTCCACCCTCTAACTACTCAATTATTTTAACACAAATCCCACAATCTTATTTTATCCTGGCTTGAAAAAACAGAAAACAAAAAGCAAACTCAGGAGAAAAGGCAACACCAAGCCTGTATTCTCAAATGTCAACCACAGGCTGAAGCTGAGTTCTAGAAGCCTTCTTTAGACGAATCATGCATTCCCCAGTTCACCACATCCCTAAAACCTCTAAGAATTTGAATTTGTGAGCCTGGGTTAAGGATGCTAAAGTCATTGAAGTCATTTTGATTGTGTTTTGGGCTCACAAGTCAGTAAGGCAGGAATTCTCTTTATCTATACTCTCCCCCTCCTTTAAGTGATACCCACAGCAGACATACTGATACTTCTGCCTAGGAAGCTACCCTAGTAACTTTGCAGCTTGTTTTTCCAGAGGAGTTGGAGGTGTCGGTCACATCTGTTCCCAAACCTGATTATGTCAGTTGTAGTTATTACTGTAATTATATATATATAATTTTCTGCAAACCAATTAAATGAGTGTGAAAAGAGAACAGCTTCTATGAAAACTAACTTAATACTTAGGAAGACTCAGATAAACTATCACCAAAAAATGCTCAACAATTTGGTAGGCAAAATAATCATAAAAGATTGGAACTAGATTATATCACAAGGTTTCAGACCACTTCAAAGAAATGAAACTAAACTTGGTAGAGAGGATGTGTTATAGTTATGGCTTACTGGTTAATGCAATAAATACACAGTGTTCCAATCATTAGACACACTCTTAAAGCAAAGGTCCTGCTCATGTATCAGAAAGATTTGCAAATTAACGTATGTTTAAATTGATATTAAAATAAAATGTTTGAAGTGTAAGTTTTTTTACCCCTCCCCAAATAAAAAACCAACTACCAGGCTGAAAGCTTTTTAATATAATGATGTGGCCAAGTTAAACTGCAAGATTCAACAAGCAGCAAGAGGTGGCTCTGCTCCAAATCAAAACTGAGAAAATGTATCTATAACCTTCCCCCTCCCCACAAAATGGAACAAGTTCATCAACCCTTCTCTTCAGTATAAATGGCCAAAAGCCAGGGTGAGGCAAGGAAACAGAAGAGAGGAAAATAAAAACAGACGCAACCTATCCTGCTTTTAGTAGCACAAGGTCACTGGATACCATCCAATTATAATGATAAACCAAGTATTTCTTTTTCTTTACCATTAATAATTGACCAAATTTAATTTGTTACAATAGTACATTTAAACAGCTAATTAGACAATTTATGTAAGTATTCCACCCTCAGAAGTGGAGCACAACTCCCCATTTTCAAGCTTTGGCTACACATACTAACTTCCTTCCATTAAGTATCAGTTATGCATAGTGACTAAACTAAATGGAGCACACTAGAAACACAAGGGAGCAAACTAGAAAGACAAGACATTCAAACTTACCAGGTCCCACTGGCATCATCCCAGGAGGAGGAGGGCCCATCATTGGCATCATGGGAGGGCCCCCCATATGGGGTGCTGGCATCATACCAGGGCGAGGAGGACCCGCTGAAATAAAGAATGGAGCCTGTGGTTAAGGTGTGCTCACATATTAACATTTTCTCTTCTCTATTTTTTTTTTTTTTTTTTGAGACGGGAGTTTCATTCTTGTTGCCCAGGCCAGAGTACGATGACACGATCTCAGCTCACCGCAACCTCCACCTCCCAGGTTCAAGCGATTCTCCTGCCTCGGCCTCCCGAGTAGTCGAGATTACAGGCATGTGCCACCGTGCCCAGCTAACTTTGTATTTTTAGTAGAGACAGAGTTTCTCCGTGTTGGTCAGGATGGTCCCGAACTCCCAACCTCAGGTGATCTGCCCACCTCAACCTCCCAAAATGCTAGGATTATAGGCATTAGCCACTGCCCCCGGCAACATTTTCTCTTCTTAATCAAACTAAAAGGATCTCATGAACTCCTTCGAATTCTGAAACAATATCCCTCTTATGGTTTCTTTTTATAATAGCAGATCCACAAAAATCACATGCCATAAAACATTAATAAAAAGCAAGAACAAGTCTGCCTAGACAGAAGAATAAAATAAAGTCAGATTCCCTAGGTTAAGAAAAATTGAGATTTTAATTTAAAAAAACAAAACAAGGGGGTGGAGAGGTTGTACCTTCTATAGGGCTCGTGACAAAAAGCTGATGGACTTAAGCCACAAGCATTTAATTTCAGATCCCTTTGTAAAAAATGAAAACATGGTTTTAAAAGATTCTTTGGAAATACAAAGACTTATATGCAGGGATATTCCTGACAGTATCATTTACAATACCTAAAATTTGGAACAACTTAAATATCCAATAAGAAAATAGTGAGGCAGGCTGGGGATGGTGGCTTAAGCCTGTAATCCCAGCACTTTGGGAGGCCGAGGCGGGCAGATCACAGGAGGTCAGGAGGTCAGGAGTTCAGGACCAGCCTGGCCAACATGGCAAAACCCCATCTCTACTAAAAATACAAAATTAGCTGGGCATGGTGGCATGCACCTGCAATCCCAGTTACTTGGGAGGCTAAGGCAGGAGAATCACTTGAATCCAGGGAACCCAGGAGGCGGAGGTTGCAGTGAGCTGAGATCACGCCACTGCACTCTAGCCTGGGCGACACAGCAAGACTCTATCTCAAAAAAAAAGAAAGAAAGAAAGAAAGAAAATAGTGAGGTAAATTATGGTAAATTCATACCATAGACTATTCTGCTATCAAAAATAATGGAGTTGAGTGCCAGCCAGTCAAGGTAGAAAAGGAGAGAGAAGTAACCTTGGAGTTGCTATGGGCTGAGGCCTGACCAGGTCCTAGGATGGCAGGTGCCCAGAAAAGGTTTGGCAGGACATTAGTGGTCCACCTACATTAGTGTGCAACTATTACAAACAGCCTACTTCCCTGAGTCTATACTTGTGATTGTGTGCAAGATTCAGTCTAGGTCCTGTATGTGATTTCAGTCTGACTGCTCCCAGAAGAGCCACAGTACAGTATGATCCAGTGCAGCACTCAGTTTCCTCTTGTCTGTCACACAGAAACAACAAACTTTCCCAGAAAGCTGGGCCCATGATCCACTCTCCTTTCAATGATCTCATTCTCACCTTTCTTTTTTTTTCTTTGAGACACAGTCTTGCTGTGTTGCCCAGGCTGGAGTGCAGTGGGGTAATCTCAGCTCAATGCAACCTCCACCACCCAGGTTCAAGCAACTCTCCTGCCTCAGCCTTCTGAGTAGCTAGGACTACAGACGTGCACCACCACGCCTGGCTAATTTTTGTATTTTTAGTAGGGATGGGGTTTCATGATGTTGGCCAGGCTGGTCTTGAACTCCTGACCTCAGGTGATCCACCTGCCTCAGCCTTCCAAAGTGTTGGGATTACAGGTGTGAACCACCATGCCCAGCCTAATTCTTATGTTTCTAAGATATAGATTTTGGTGTTAGGTGGGTTAGAAAATAGGGCAAAAGACTAAGGAGTTTATCAGCTACTTCAGTCCTCTAGTGCTGTGCTCATAGAGTAAATAATTTAATGTACCTAGCAACTCCTATTCATGTATTAGCTCATCTAATCAGAGGTTCATTCTGAGCTTTCTTTCCATTTAAATCTCTCTTAGATCCACACTTGGGATGCCACAAATACAGTACTTAGTGACAATGCAATCAAAAGTTAACTCCGAAGTTATTTTAGAAATTATACCACTAAAGTTGTTTTCCATTACTACGCACATCTATATTCAACATTTATGTATTTATACATTTATATTACTATCTACATACAAATGCAACAGTATTTGAAAGCCAACGGTGAGATAATGTAACCTAATCAAAGGACAGCCTGCCCCATCACACCCCTTAAGATTAAAACTTTAAACTTACGAAGGCTGGGGGGAGGTGGTATCATCGCCCCTGCAGGAGGAGGAGCAGAGAATGGAGTAGGAGGTATCTTTCCTTGTTGAAATGCAGCCGCTTCGGAGATGAGGGTGAGAAAAGAAAAAAGATGAATAAGAGTTCAACAACCCAGTAACTAAAATAACCTCTTTCTTTTAAGTCTTTGATGGTTCCAATTACTTTACTCTTGCTAGCTGTCCTCTAAAATTATTACATCATGGTTCTACAGTTTAAAAATCATTTTTAGGTATTCACCGGCTAAAACTGCAATTAATTGGTTTATTGATTCATGTTTTCTAATTAGCATTTCTTTTTTTTTTTTTTGAGACGGAGTCTTGCTCTGTAGCCCAGGCTGGAGTGCAGTGGCTGGATCTCAGCTCACTGCAAGCTCCGCCTCCCGGGCTTATGCCATTCTCCTGCCTCAGCCTCCCCAGTAGCTGGGACTACAGGCGCCCGCCACGTTTTTTGTATTTTTTAGTAGAGACGGGGTTTCACCGTGTTAGCCAGGATGGTCTCGATCTCCTGACCTCATGATCCGCACATCTTGGCCTCCCAAAGTGCTGGGATTACAGGCTTGAGCCACCATGCCCGGCCTCTACTTAGCATTTCTATGGCTAAATTAAATATGGGAGACTGGAGTAAAAATTTCCTGCCTATCAATGTCTTTTCTTTTTGAGACAGAGTCTCACTGTCACCCATGCTGTAGTGCAGGGACACAATCGCAGCTCACAGCAGCATCGACCTCCCGGGCTCAGGTGATCCTCTCACTTCATCCTCCCAAATAGCTACAGGTGCTTGGCAGTATGCCTGGCTAACTTTTGTATTTTCTGTAGAGACTGGGTTTCACCAAATTGCCCAGGCTGGTCTCAAACTCCTGAGTTCATGCAATCCACTCATCTCAGCTTACCAGAGTGCTAGGATTATAGGCATGAGCCACCATGCCTGGCCCTATCAATGTCTTTTACCAAAGAGGAAGAGTCATCTTTAATCTGTAGATATAGTTTATAACCAATTCAAGCCATTCATAGTTTTGTTTGAAAAAGTGCAATACATGCCCAAAAAGCTAGGCTTTATAAAATTTCTATCCTTCCTATGTATGCTGTCCTAGGTCAAAATAATACACTATGTTGGTTTACCAGTTTGGAAATCAATGCACTAACCTAGGATTTTCAAAACATACAAAGATTTCAAACTATAAGCCTGCCCCAAAAGAGTTATGATTTTTAAGAAAATCTAATACAATCAATTTAAATTTTTTTTTCAGATGAAGCATAAGAGAAAACAAGAGAAACTGAAGATCATCTATATTTGGTTTTAGCAAAGAATCACAAATAAATATTAAAATACACACTCATAAAGTCTATTCCTGACATAAGCTGTCTATAGCCCATCCCACTCCACTCCAATGCAAAGGAAATCAAATTACTCATCAATTACTGGTAATTCATGGGATCAGATCAAAAAAGTGACCTAAGTGGAGATTTATGAATAGCTTATTATCCATATGCCTCTGAACAAAGCCTGTGCGATCTCAGGGATTATATCCCAATATGGACTTTTTCAATCAAAAAGGCCTCTCTCACATCTTTTGTAGGAGGACAGCTTGTAAAGCCTGAAGTGGGGGAAGCAAAGTCACTGACTTAGTAGCAGGCTCTAGGTCAACATAATCACGGATTTCATGAGTGTGTCCCTGAGGGGCTCCCCTACTCTTCTCAAAAAGTCCCCCACTAAAAATGTTTATTATTCTGACTAGCCTTAAAACAAAAACAAAAACATGTACTCAAGCCGAGTGCAGCGGCTCCTGCCTATAATCCTAGCACTTTGGGAGGCTGAGGCAGGAGGATCTCTTGAGTTCCAGAGTTAAAGACTAGCTTGAGCAACATAGTGAGACCCCGTCTCTACAAAAACTAAAGATTAGCTGGGAATGGTGGTGTGCACCTGTAGTCCCAGCTACCTGGGAGGCTCAGGCAGGAGGAATGCTTGAGCCCAGGAGTTCAAGGCTACAGTGAGCTATGATCGGGCGACTGCACTCCAGCCTGGGTGACAGAGTAAGACCCTATCTCTACAAAAGTTAAAATTTAAATTAAAAAAATGTTTATTCATCCTAAATTATTTTGCTGCCTATGGAAAGTAACTACAGAATATACTGTAAATCTTTTAATGCTAAGAAATTTCTAACATCTTTTCAAGTAAGGGGAAAAGATTACATCATGGTTTATTTTTTCATATGAAATGGGACAATGGGGCAGGTGTGGTGGCTCATGCCTATAATCCCAACACTTTTGAAGGCCCAGGCAGGAGGATTGCTTGAGGCCAGGAGTTCAAGACCGGCCTGAGCAACAAAGTGAGACACCATCTCTATACAAAATTTTACAAAATTAACCTAGCATAGTGGTGTGCACCTGTAGTCCTAGCTACTCAGGAGGCCAAGACCAGAGGATCACCTGAGCCCAGAAATTTGAGGCTGCAGTGAGCTTTGATTATACCACAGCACTCCAGTCTGGGCAACAGAGTGAGAGTCAGTTTTTTTAAAAAAATCGGGACTGGGCATGGTGGCTCACGCCTGTAATCCCACCACTTTGGGAAGCCAAAACAGGTCAATACTTGATGTCAGGAGTTCAAGACCAGCCTGGCCAACATGGTGAAACCCCATTTCTACCAAAACCAAAAAAAATTAGCCAGGTGTAGTGGTGTGCGCCTGCAGTCCTAGCTACTCGGGAGGCTGAGGCAGGAGACTCACTTGAACCCAGGAGGCAGAGGTTGCAGTGAGCTGAGATCGTTCTGGCCTGGGCAACAGAGCAAGACTCAATCTCAAATAAATAAATAAATAAATAAATAAAATCAATTTTAAAAACTGGGACAATGTCTGAGGTTTGGTCCATAATAATCCAGGAAGGAGAAGGAGTAGGTGACAACATTCAGTGGCTCTCTTGGCCAGAAACAATTTTGCCTTCCAGGGACACTGCACAATGCCTGGAGATATTTTTAGTAGTCACAACTGGAGACTGGTACTGGCATCTAGTTAGCAGATGCCAGGCATGCTGTCAAAAATCCTGCAACGCACAGAAAGATCCACACAGCAAAAGATTATCCAGCCTTAAATGACAACAGTATTTGTCATAAGGTTGAGAAACCCAGAATAAATGCAACAAGAGTGCTACAGCTGAGTGATGAGAAATGAAGGGTGAGGAAATTCAGAATGGGAGGTTCATTAAGCTTGTCTATTTTTTTTTTTTCAGACAGAGTCTCGTTCTATCGCCCAGGCCGGAATGCAGTGGTGAGACCTTGGCTCACTGCAACCTCCGCCTCCTGGGTCCAAGCGATTCATCTGCCTAAACCTCCCCGAGTAGCTGGGATTACAGGCATGCGACACCACACCCAGCTAATTTTGTATTTTTCGTAAAGACAGGGTTTCTCCACGTTGGTCAGGCTGGTCTCTAACTCCTGATCTCAGGTGATCCACCCACCTCAGCCTCCCAAAGTGCTGGGATTACAGGCGTGAGCCACCACACCCAGCACTCGCTTGTCTATTTTATTTGAAAATTTTCACAACAGTTTTGCCTTTTTATTATTTATTAATTATTACTATTTTTTTGAGACAGAGTCTCACTCTGTCGCCCAGACTGGAGTGCAGTTCAGTGGCGCGATCATAGCTTGCTGCAACCTCCGCTTCCTGGGTTTGAGCAATTCTCCTGCCTCAGTCTCCCAAGCAGCTGGGGCTACAAGCAGGCGCCACCATGCCCATCTGAATTTTTTGTATTTTTAGTAGAGATGGGGTTTCGCCATGTTGGCCAGGCTGGTCTCAAACTCCTGACCTCAGATGATCCACCACCTCCTCCTCCCAAAGTGCTGGGATTACAGGCGTAAGCCAGTGTGCCCGGCCAGTTTTGCCTTTTTATTACTTTTTAATTTTAAAAAAAACTTTTTGGCCGGGATTACCGGTGTGAACCACCACGCCTGGGCTAATTTGTATATTTTTAGTAGAGATGGGGTTTCACCATGTCGGCCAAGATGGTCTTCAACTCCTGGCCTCAAGTGATCTGCCCGCCTCGGCCTCCCAAAATGCTGGGATTACAGGCATTAGCCGCTGCACCTGCCCTACTGCTTTTTTAAAAAGTCACATCACAAAACCCACATTTGCTTGCCAGCTTGGAGTACAACGAATGATTAAGAAAGGCTGTGATTCAAATACACCAGGATGATCTAAACTAAAAATGCAACATCTCCTTCAGTTAGTGTCCTGGACCCAATAAGCCAGAACAAAATGTTCCTAACAATAAGAGCATGGGATGTACAACAGGGGTCCGAAACATATTCAGACTATTTTGCTACATCAAGTAGTTTCTTTTTGACTAGTACTCTGTCAGGACTACAAATAAAACATCTAAATATAGTCTCAAACTACTTGGGGAAAACCACAAACCCACTCCTGATCTGCTCCTATTAGAATAGGAACACACTTCTAAAACCTGTGGATTAACTACAAAGGGGCTTTATAGAAATTTGCTATAAAATCTGGTGTTAATACATAAATATTAAGCAACTCCATTCTTCTCTGCCTCACTTCCCCATCTAACCTTATTGCTGTCTCTGATTGCTCTATCCTCAATAATAAATATTAATGTGTTCCTATATCCTTGGGAAACCAATGACCTTCCACTTCTTTCATTCAACATATCCAAATGCTCCTATTTATCATTCAGAATGAGTTGCCTCTGTGAAAAACACCAGAGACAGGGACAAGAAAGAATAGGACCATTTTACCACATCAGAACAAGAGACTGAAGCATACTTGTTTTGTCAATCAGGCTCTGAGCCTGCTCTTCCATCCATTTCTGATAATAGTCTTTCACATTCTCTTTGTGTTTCCTTCCACTGCAGTGTGTCTTTCTCACAGATGGCTGCAAAATAAAAAGATCATATCAGACACAGAAACAAATGTCCAACACTAAAAATTTAATAAAGTTTTGCCTTTATATAAGTAACGTGTCTAGTATCAGCAGCATTAGCTGGCTGCTACAGTATTACTTAAAAACATTACCCAGCAACATACTGTGGTAATTTTTTTACTATATTATCTAGACCAGAGGTCAGCAAACTATGCCCCATTGGCCAGCCACTGGCTTTTGTGTTTTAAAAAAAAAAAAAAAGTATTGGAACACAACCACATTTATCTCTATCTACCTTTTTTTTTTTTTGAAAAGGGTCCTGCTCTGTTGCCCAGGATGGAATGCAATAGCACGATCTCAGCTCACTGCTGCCTCAACCATCCGGGCTCAAGCAATCATCCCACCTCAGCCTCCTGAGTTGCTGGGACTAGAGACACGAGCCACTATGACCAGCCAACTTTTAAATTTTTTGTAGAGATGACGTCTCACAATGTTGCCCAGGCTGGTCTCAAACCCCTAGGCTCAAGTGATCCTCTCACCTTGGCCTTCCAAAGTGCTGTGATATTACAGGTGTGAGCCACAGAGCCCAGCACATTTATTTATATATTGGCTACACCTTCTCTCTACAAGGAAGTTGAGTAACTGCAGCAAAGGTGGTGGTCCCAGCTACTTGGGAAGCTAAGATGGGAAGGACGTTTGAGCGTAGGAGATCAAGGCTACAGTGAGCCAAGATCACTCCACTACACTCCAGCCTGGGTGACAAAGCAAAATCCTATCTCAAAAAAAAAAATTGTTCCTGGCTGGGCACAGTGGCTCCAGCCTATAATCCCAGCACTTTGGGAGGCCAACGCGGGTGGATCACGAGGTAAGATTAAGACCATCCTGGCTAACATGGTGAAATCCCATTTCTACTAAAAATACAAAAAATTAGCCAGGCATGGTGGCAGGTGCCTGTAGTCCCAGCTACTCAGGAGGCTGAGGCAGGAGAATGGCATGAACCCAGGAGGCAGAGCGTGTAGTGAATCAAGATTGTGCCATTGCACTCCAACCTGGGAGACACAGACAGACTTTGTTTCAAAAAAAAAAAAAAAAAAAAAAAAATTGTTCCTTGTCCTCCCAACCACTGCTTACATTAACACAACAATGATGCCTTAAACCTAATAACAAAATCATGACTAGCAGCCAGTCGCAGTGGCTCACACCTATAATCCCAGCACTTTGGGAGGCCAAAGTGGGCGGATCACCTGATGTCAGGAGTTCAAGACCACCCTGGCCAACAAGGTGAAACCCTGTCTCTACTGAAAATACAAAAATTGGCTGGGTATGATTGCACGCGCCTGTAATCCCAGCCACTCGGGAGGCTGAGGCAGGAGAATCACTTGAATCTTGAAGGTGGAGGTTGCAGGGAACTGAGATCATGCTACTGCACTCCAGAATGGGCAACACAGTGAGATTCCATCTCAAAAAAAAAAAAACAAAAAAACTCATAACTAAAAATCAACCAAAGTCCAAAAGTTACAGCACTGAATGTTTTTACACATTTCTTTCTCTTATTTGGGGTTTTTTTTTTGAGATGGAGTCTTACTCTGTCACCCAGGCTGGAGTGCAGTGGCGAGATCTCGGCTTACTGCAACCTCCGCCTCTCAGGTTCAAGCGATTCTCCTGCCTCAGCCTCCCAAGTATCTGGGATGATAGGCGTGTGCCACCACACCCAGGTAATTTTTTTTGTATTTTTGGTAGAGATGGGGTTTCACTACACTGGCCAGGCTGGTCTTGAACTCCTGATCTCGTGATCCGCCCACCTTGGCCTCCCAGTGCTGGGATTACAGGCGTAAGCCACTATGCCCGGCTGTTTTTACACATTTCTAAGTCCACTATAGGGATCTGTAAAATCAATCACCATAGAAATGTTCTATTTTTGCAAGACATCATTTTAGAAGGAACAAGCGTTCATGACATTTCTCATGAAAAGACATTTTTAATATAAAGAAATACTTTTCAGTTCTCTGAATTCTGGCATTAGCAAGAAAGTGAATAATAGGTATATGAAACTATAATGCCAAAAAAGGGCAGAAAGGCACAGCCCCCTCATTAACAATTTCAGAAAATTATCTCTAGGGGGTTTTACCTAGAGAGGGGGTAAAAAAAGGACTAGGGATCTATAAGCAAGAACTGACTAGCTATTAAAAATACCAATTTATCAGAGCATTCTACTCCAGGACAATGTATGAAAATACACAGAACTTGGCCAGGCACAGTGACTCACTCCCAGCACTTTGGGAGGCCAAGGTGGGACTGTTTCTTCATGGCGAAACCCCGTCTCTACTAAAAATACAAAAACTAGCCGAGTGTGGTGGTGCAGGCCTGTAATCCCAGCTACTCGAGAGGCTGAGACAGGAGAACTGCTTTAACCCGGGATGTGGAGGCTGCAGTGAAACAAGGTCATGGCATTACACTCCAGCCCAGGAAATAAAGCAATACTCCATCTCAAAAAAAAAAGATAATATACAGAACTATAACAACGTCTTCAAGAGGAACCACCCAACTTAAATGTTCCACATCTCTATTAATGCTATACTACATCTGAACACATGTTAGAAAGAATTCCAAATAAAGTGACAATAGAAAAATCACTGGCCAGTTTCTTCCAGCTACTATTCAAGATAATCAAGAGTTATAATTTAGACCAGTCTGGGAAACACAGCGAGGCCTCAGCTGTAAAAAGAATTATGACTTAATCAGATTTCTACAGAGGCAGCAAAGCATAGAGCTGCAGTGTTCAGGGCATGGTTCACAGACATCTAAGGGTCTCTGAGACTCTTTCACAAGGTCTGCAAGTTCAAAGTGTTTTCATAATACTACTAAGCCATTACTTTCCTTTTTCACTGTATTGACATTTTCACTGATGATGCCAAATTCCTGGCACTTCAGAACGAATCAAGGCAATGGCACCCGACTGTATTAGTGATCACTGTATTCTTCAATGTATGTACTCATAGGGGGAAAAAAAGCTAGTTTCACTGAGTGAAATTAATGAAGCAACAAAATTATTAATTTTTATTAAATCTCAACCCTTAAGTTCAAGTCTTTTTAATATTCTGAGTGACAAAATGGGAAAAATAGACAAAGCACTTGTGTTGCATGCCAAAATATGATGCCCTTTCAAGGAAAAGCAGGCATGTAATTGTTCAAATTATGAGCTCTACTAGCTGCCTCTCTTGAAGTCCTGGGCTCAAGCAATCCTCCTTCCTCGGCCTCCCGAAGTGCTGAAATTACAGGCATGAGCCACCATATCCAGCCCAGCTGCCTTTTTGATGGAACACCATTTTTATTTGAGAGTGACAGACACAAACCGTATATTCAGACTTCTCAAAAATGAATGGAGTGAGCCTGTCACTTCAAACAGAGCAATGGAAAGTATTGCCAGTGATAGAATTTGAGCTATTAAGCAAAAATCAGAATTTTGGAAAATCTTATCTGCCACCATAAGCTTGACAGCTTCCCAATATTTAAAGATGGTTCTGATTAGACTGTGACATTAATTAATGTGGGTTTTCATTACATAATCAAACGTGTCTACATTTGAAGCCTGGCACTAACTCAAGTCAATCAACTTTTCCAAATAACCAATGCACATTACAAAATCATGCAAGGCAAAGATCCACTCAAGTGCTCTTTAGACCACTAAAATTTTTTTTAAGAGGCGGGGTTAGCTGGGCATGGTGGCTCATGCCTGTAATCCCAGCACTTTGGGAAGCCAAGGCAGACAGATCACCTGAGGTCGGGAGTTCGAGACCAGCCTGACCAACATGGAGAAACTCCGTCTCTACTAAATATTAAAAATTAGCCGGGCGTGGTGGCCCATGCCTGTAGTCCCAGCTACTCGGGAGGCTAAGGCAGGAGAATCACTTAAACCCGGGAGGTGTAGGTTGCAGTGAGCCGAGACAGCGCCACTGCACTCAAGCCTGGACAACAAGAGCAAAACCCCGTCTCAAAAAAAAAAAAAAAAAGTACTAACAAAACATTCTACTTTAACTGCTGTATTATTTGATAAGCAGTTTTTTTTGTTTTGTTGTCCAGGCTGGAGTGCAGTGCCTGATCATTCCTCACTGCAGCCTGGACCTCAAGCGATTCTCTCACCTCATCCTCTTGCGTAGCTGGGACTACAGGCACACCACCATGCCTGCCTTGTTAAGCGGTTTTTAATCAAAGTTACTCTAGGGTGGGAAATAACCTCCAACTATTTTCTACAAGCAGTAGACCTTAAACCTCAGCAGGTGGGAAAGCACAACTTGCATCTTTAAAAAAACACAAAACTCATTTAATTATTACACATAAGGCTTTTTGAAAGTATGGATACGCCACTTACAGAGTCATGGGTGAGGTATGTATCGCAGTAGTCACAATAAAACCTGAAAAGAGGTGAAAGGGAGAAAGAGATGACAACCAGCTAGATGCCCATCCATGGAAGCGCTGTTCATGGAATATAAAAACCAAGAAACAAACAAAAAGCCCGACCTCCTCACGACTCAAAAGCGTCAAAGCGTCGACATATAAACCAGGCTTTTTTTGTTGCCTTAAGCGGGATCCATCTCCACTCTAAGAAGGGGTGTCTAGCGTTCTCCATCTCCCTATCTCCGTCCAACTGTCCCAGATACTCTGCCATCCCACGAGGTTTCAGAAACCAGAACCCGCTCTCTGCTCCTGCATAGGGGCCACAACTAGTGACTACGATCACCCTCAGATTTCGGGGCCCCACTCACTTGGGCATGTTGCTCTGCAGGCCGTTGGCCACTCCGTTACGTGACGCCCGGAAATGACGCGCACAGTCAGCGACGACACCGCGGAACCCCACGAGACTAGCGAGAAGACCCGAAGCCCTCGCCACCAACAGCCGAGCGAGGGGCGGGGCTTTTCCCTTTCTTCCTTTCATCTAATAGGATGGCGGGAAGGGGGAGTACTACGGGTCGCTACGAGGTTCAACCCAAGCTCTTTTAATCTTGTTTCTCGATGCTTCCAGAAGAGCGTATTTAATCTTTTTGTAAATATCTAATGATTCTCTGCAAAGCCCATGGGGCTGCTATAAATGCTGAAAAAACAGCAGTGAACAAAACGGATAAAAATTCTTGCCCTCGTGGAGTTGAGATTCTAGTGAAACAAGACAGATATTAAAACCAACAGGAGCCGGCGCCGTGGCTAGCGCCTGGAATCTCAGGTACTCCCGAGGCTGAGGCGGGAGGATCACGTGAGCCCAGGAGTTGGAGACCAGCCCTGGGCAACACAGCGAAACTTGTCTCTACAGAAAATTTTAAAACTAGCCGGACGTTGGCCCGACGCGGTGGGTCACGCCTGTGATCCCAACACTTTGGGAGGCCGAGGCGGGCGGATCGCCTGAGGTTAGGAGTTCGAGACCCGCCCGGCCAACCTGGTGAAACCCCGTCTCTACTAAAAATACAAAAATTAGCTGGGCGTGGTGGCGGGCGCCTCTAATCCCAGTTACTCGGGAGGCTGAGGCAGGAGAATGGCTTGAAGCCGGGAGGCAGAGGTTGCAGTGAGCCGAGATCGCGCCATTGCACTCCAACCTGGGCGACAGAGCAAGACTCCGTATCAAAAAAAAAGAATTCGCCGGAGGTGGTAGCGCGCGCCTGTGGTCCCACCTACTGGGGGGACTGAGATGGGAGGATCGCTTGAACCCAGGAGGTTGTGGTTATAGTGAGTCGTGATCGCGCCACTGCACTCCAGGCTGGGTGACAGAGTGGTACCCTGTCTCAAAGAAATAGTAAATATTTATAGTAGTCGGTTAGGTGGAGCAAAGTGAAGGGGGGAAGAGGGGAGTCCAACTTTACAGATGATAGAGAAAGGTTATCTCTTGCCTTTTTAAAATTTTTTGGTTTTGTTTTGTTTTGTTTTTTGAGACGGAGTCTCGCTCTGTCGCCCAGGCTGGAGTGCAGTGGCGCTATCTCGGTTCACTGCAAGCTCCACCTCC